AACATTAGTCAAGCAGACAGTAACACTTTTAGTTTCTTATATGGTCTCCGACTCACAAGAAGAAATGTAGAACATATTTATTCTCAACATTTTCTCTGTTGTGCTTCAAATACATATGCTACATAGTCAAGAAAACAGATTTTCACTTTAAAAGGTTCTAATTAACTTTGCCATGGTGAATCCTGAGGAGAAGCAATTTCGGCATCTTTAGAACATAAAGCTTGAAAAAAATTGTGCATTGTGCTGTGCTAAACATAATAAACACTAGAATCACAAGTATCAAAATGGAAATTAATTATAAAAGTGTCCATGAAATCTGGTTCAGTCAATTCAAATGGGGTACGTGGAGTGTTTTAAAGATGCTCAAAATGAGAGCACAACATGCACAGCAGTCTTATGAATTCATTCTTATGCAGCCAAAACATTTATGGCCCAGCTAAAGCATTAAACATGTGCTAGACTCAACATCTGCCTTTATGGATCGCATTGCTCAAAGAAATATCCTTTTATCATACTGAAATCAACAAAAGAAAATGTCCATATAAAGTTCTCTCAGTTTGCAAATTATATGGTTGGAGATCTTTTAATGTAAACTTTTTTTATTTTATTATTTTTTTTCTTGAAAAATGATCCTCCACTAAATATCAACAGTTTACAACAAAAGGAAATTGAGATGGTTATACAACCACATAAAAATATGAAGATTTACTACAGTACAAAGGGTTACAGCGATAACAAACCCACCACTTCTCCCTCGTTCTTTTTCATGACAAATTACTGCCAGTCTGTTCAGCCTGATGTGAGAACTGCTCATTAAGTTTGGCTTCATTGGACAATCAATCAACGGGGAACATGGAAATCCACCACGGTCCACTATTCAAATCACCTCAGGAATAGAAGTGAAAAAGAAACACCTTGAAACGGCACTGATTAGAGGACAACATGCAGCTGTCGTTTCTTCTGTGGTGGCCGAGAGGACGGTAACATCGTTAAAGTGTCATTTTAAAAACAACATGTTGCTTGGATATGGTTTTTGTGAACATGTTGGAGGTACATGCAGAGGCATTCTGGTAATTGGGTGTTTGAATGTGCGTCACATTTGAAGTCAGTCCACGAGTGACTCACAAGTGCCCTACAGAGCACGCTTTCAGTCGCCTTCCTTGGACATGCATATTAGACTTCATGCGCACAGTGTGACTCGAACTCTCCCAACCAAAATGAAAATGAAGAATGAAAATGGAAAATGCATGAAGGTGCAGACAAGAACATGACAAAGAGGTTTAGGAACAATGCTGTCGATAAAATACAATTTTGCTTCTCTGAAAAGCTGTGATAATTCTTTCAGGTTTTACAACTCTATGCCAGATTTTAAGCTAAATTAAATTACAAGGAGAGAGAAATATTCACAAAGACGTAAATGATAATCTCATAAATGTGTGAAGAAATGTCTGAGTGCCCCTCCCTTGAAAAATAAATAATAATACTAGAAAAAAAAACTATTTAGCTAACTAAAACCAATTTCTCTTTTTTATTTAGTCTAATAAAATAACTAAAAGTAAAAATTAGTAAAACTATCGAGAAAAATAAATAAATAAAATAATAAAAAACAATGAAATCTCATGAAAAAGTAATTTAAATGATGGTGATAATGGTGATGATAAAAAAAAAAAAAAAATTAAAACAAACAAATACGAAATATTTAAAGCTATAATAGTATCTCAGTGATACTAAAATAAGCACTGCGAACTAACTGAAATCAATAATTTAATAATAATAATAATAATAATAATAATAATAATAATAATATTTACACATTTATTTATATATATATAGTTAATAAACAGTTAAGCATTTCAGGACATTAAGAATTTTTGCATTGTGACATTTCATGACAATTGAGCAAATGTTGCCGTCAGATTTTCATGAACCTCTAGACAAAGAGTCTAGAATTCTAGACAAAAAAAAAAAAAAAAAAAACCCATTGGGATGGAAAAAACATAAGAGGGGAAGTAGAACAAACATTTGTCGTATTACAATGCCTTAAGGGCTCTTCATAAAAGTGCTGTTGCCACACAAAGCTATTGAGATCCATATGTCTGCATTTAGCTGTCTGAGTGGACAATACCTGGGCCCTGGAGGAAGACACAGCGGAAATGCTTGTCTCTGAGACAATAGGAAAACAGATCAACAAATGTAACACCAACCTGGTAAAGACCAGCCAACACTCAGCAGGCCACACAGAAAGAGCAAGGGAACGTCTCTAGTGTAACAGAGGTGATGAGCGGAACTGCTGTTCATCAGCATTAGTGCACTAATGGAAGTCTGTGAGGGTACACTACCTCTTTCCGCAGACGTATATTATGAGAAATGAGAGTCCCAGCAGATTACAGGATATCTAGGTGTTACGTATACTGTACTTAAATCCGATGCCCTTAGAACTGTGGGTGATATGTTTATCAGTTTTTTCTTTTTTAACACATTAGCATTTTTCTTTTTATATACAGTACTATGTGTGCATGTGTGTGTGTATGTATGTGTTTGTTTGTTTATTTACTTATTCATTCATTTATTCAACATCATAATTTAAGACTACGATATTTTTGGTCCTGTCATTGGTCATGATTATTTGCGTTTAAATACTTTTATTAAAATCTTTGTTTCGTAGTTAATTTCAATTGGTCCAAATGGTTTCAAAATGTAGGCTAGAATCTGATCATATGAAAATAATAAAATCCATTATGAATATGCTAGTATCATATAAGCAAGAGATGTTGTTTTGAAAATCAGCACAACTTTGATTCGCTCGCAGATAACTACAGCCAAGCTGATATTCATACAGCAACATTGATTTTCAAAAGAAAGACTGCAAGTTTAATATTGCTTTTATAAAATAGTTCAACAAAAGGAAATACAATATTGTGTATCCTACATTTTAGACAGTACTCTTGATTCGTCTACTTTTGCTCTGCATACAAAAATAGTGCAAACCACTGCATGTCTCAAGGCAATACAAAGTAGTGACATTTAGTCCCTGAATGATTTTTTAAATGAATTAGTTGAGTGAATGATTCAGTGATCCACTTATTTATTATAAACTACTGGCCTAACAATGTAGCGTACAGAAAGTGCCAAAAAATATTTCTATAACCTATATAACCTAGCTATTTGTTTTAGTATAAATATTCCATGTGGTTCACAAAACCATCACAAATAATGATCATAAAGAACTGATCAAAAATTATTTCCTAATACTCTAAAATAATTTTAGAATGAATATGCCATCACAACAGGAATCATTTTCAGAAGTATTTGTCGCCTTCCCTTGTACGAAATCCCTCTGAGGTTTTCTGTCATGTATGATAATACATGAAGACTTTAAATGAGTCATTTGTCCTCTTTCATTTGTATACGTGACAAAAGCAGAGTTTATGCATGTTAGTGTGATTCCCTCCACACATCGGTGGGTGTCGCATCTGTATAAACGGGCCCTGGGGTGAACGCTGTTATGGCACATAAGTGATATTAACTCCCTCAATGATTCCTCAGTGCTCACATGGCTTTTTATAGTCCCTACAACCCCAAAGGGGACAGAATAAAGCGGTAACGCCAACTGCTTTATCACCACCATCGCGGTTCACACTTGTGTAAGTTTATCAAGCAGGTCCTCTGGGATGGTAATTAGTTTTGAGTCTGTGGTGGCCGCTGGGTTCCTCCTGATATTGGGTTTGTGAGCTGTAAAGGGGATCATTAAGCAACCAGGTCAATGAGAGATGTACCTGTGTTGACCTTGGACGTGACTCGTGCCAAGTCAATCCGTCTTGGGTGGGGAACGGGAGCGGTGGGCTGGCGGGGACTGCTTTTCCGGCGTTCTGATAGTTTGCTGACTTTAGAAAGGGGGGCGAAGATTCCTGGAGAGGGACAGAAATAAATTATTTTGTTGAGAACAGACATCGCCAACTATATACATTACATATGTGAAGATTAATATTATGTGTGTCGATATCATAATTGAAATGCGAATTAAAATTTTGCCTGCTAGGGTGCAATGCAACATTGTGAGAAAAACTATTGTTACATATGACGAAATATCATCAGGGGTGCATTTCCCAAAACCAACTAGCTAACTATGGTCGTTAGTTCTATTGAACTGCATTGGTAATGACGGAAATTACGACCATAGTTGTTTTGGGAAGCATGTGACCGATAAAATGCCACTCTGTGACGTTTGTCATGGTTGAAGCTAGCTAAATATTCAACATAGAAAAAAAATGAATAAACAAACAAACATACATACATACATGGTTAATTCGTAAAAAACTGACACTCACAAATCACTAGTTATGCTCAAATGCTGCTGTTTCTTACTGTCACAACTGTGGCTGGTTAAGACAAGCAATACAATTTAATAGAGACTGTTCAATGATTTATCACGTTTTACCTGGTTATCTACTTAGTAAACATTAACCATCACTAGTTAAATATTATCAGAACACACTTATCAAAGTCATAGCTGGTTTTGGAAGAGACATGACAAATTTTGTTGGTGCTTTGTTGTGCCCGGTTAGCTAGTTAGTGAAATTACACTGACAAGTTAACTACATATGCTTATATACCATCATATTACAACTGTCAGAGATGTGGCAGGTCAAAACAAAAAATTCAGATTAATGCACAAAAAAGACACAATTCCTTGGTGATCTATCATGTTGCCTCTGTTTTACTAGTTCGCAACAACACACACACACACACACATATATATATATATATATATAGTGGTGGCCAAAATTATTATAACACTAGTATTTTTACCTGCTAAAAAATGGTTTTAAGTAAGACTTTTATATTGAAAGAGACTGAAACGGAAGTTATTTTTACATTTAATAACAGCTTGTAAGACGCAGTTAACAAATGCAGTGATCAGCGCGGTCATCGGAAATCACCCTTGTTGTCTCATTATGACTCTAAAGTTGCAAAGCAGATGAGAAAATCAAGCAGAAATTCAAATTCTTTATCAACTCCCATTTCTGAAGAAATTGTTCAGCTAAAATAAAAAGGCTAATTATTGAACAATACCTTTTACCTACAATCAGAAAAAACAAGTAGAGGAGATTAGCATTGCTCTGTAAATTAGACGTCTTCAGTGTATTTAAAATTGCAATTCAAGTTTTATCACACTACTAAAACTGTAAAAATATACTGCAAGCATTTCCATAAAATTTACTCCATTCAATTTAGCACATTTAAAACCTGCTGCAGTTCTACTACATAAATGACGACAAATGTACTTTAATATTTCAAACTTTGTGCAGATTTCCTGTTCCTGCTACCTAGAACTGTACCATGCACAATCAATTTTATATACAGTGGTGGCCAAAGTTATTAGAACATTAGTATGTTCACCAGCTATAAATGGTTTTAAGTCAGTTATTTTTATCTGTTGTTGTAGTGTGTCAGTAGGAAATATAAATTTACATTTCCAAACATTAATTTTGCCATGAATTGTAATAATCCAGTGAGATTTTTTTCTGACAACAGCCAGTGCTCCACACAGAGATCTGATCTGATCATCGTCCAGTCTGTCTGGAGTGACATGAAGAAACAGAACAAACGGAGACAGACTAAATCCAGAAGAACTGTGGCAACGTCACCAAGATGCTTCTAGAGACCTCCCTGCAAAGCTACAGTATTGTTAAACGTTTTAGGCACTTGTGTAAAAATGCTGTCATAATGAAATAGATTTCTTTATCAATTAACTTCCATTAACTAAATTAAATCAACATTTGGTGTGACCATCCTTTGCATTTAAAGCAGCTTTTTCCCTCGGTGCACTTGCGCATAGTTTTTCAGGCAGCTTTGCAGGGAGGTCTCTTGAAGAACCCTAACCCTAAATAAAGGACATGATTCCTTGGCTATTGTGTTAGTAAATATTCAACTCAGTTATGCTCAAATATACCTCACTTATCACATTTTCCCTCACTTATCATTCGTTTAAAAAAAATAAATCAATCAAAGACATGCTTTGTTGCTTGACTTCTTATTGCTCCAGATTAGCTAGTTAGTAAACATTACACTCAATAGTTATCTAGTTGGGCTCAAATATCACAGGATCACACTTGTAACGGTCTGGGTAAATTAAGATTTATATGGAAAAGACATGACTCATTCCTTCATTTTGTTGCGCCTGGTTAACATACTAGTTAGCTAATTATTTAACAATACTCTTTGCAAGTCACTATCATATCAGAAAAACGTTTCCATTTTTAAACTGTTAAACTGTCAAACTGAGATTTGAATATGTGGCGGAAGGAAGTAGTTCCGCACAAAAGGGTTTTTAAGAACACTCCGTTGTTGTTTTTCTTATATATTTACACTCGTGTCGTCGAACTGTTGTGTGAACGCAATATCACTCTCATACTCAAAAGATACCGGCACTATATCAGCGGCTGTGATTGCCTCTGGCACTCGGCCTGCGGTGATCTCATCATCATCCAGTCTGTCTGGAATAACATGAAGAAACAGAACAAACGGAGACAGACTAAATCCAGAAGAACTGTGGCAACGTCACCAAGATGCTTCTAGAGACCTCCCTGCAAAGCTACAGTATTGTTAAACGTTTTAGGCACTTGTGTAAAAATGCTGTCATAATGAAATAGATTTCTTTATCAATTAACTTCTATTAACTAAATTAAATCAACATTTGGTGTGACCATCCTTTGCATTTAAAGCAGCTTTTTCCCTCGGTGCACTTGCGCATAGTTTTTCAGGCAGCTTTGCAGGGAGGTCTCTTGAAGAACCCTAACCCTAAATAAAGGACATGATTCCTTGGCTATTGTGTTAGTAAATATTCAACTCAGTTATGCTCAAATATACCTCACTTATCACATTTTCCCTCACTTATCATTCGTTTAAAAAAAATAAATCAATCAAAGACATGCTTTGTTGCTTGACTTCTTATTGCTCCAGATTAGCTAGTTAGTAAACATTACACTCAATAGTTATCTAGTTGGGCTCAAATATCACAGGATCACACTTGTAACGGTCTGGGTAAATTAAGATTTATATGGAAAAGACATGACTCATTCCTTCATTTTGTTGCGCCTGGTTAACATACTAGTTAGCTAATTATTTAACAATACTCTTTGCAAGTCACTATCATATCAGAAAAACGTTTCCATTTTTACTCTTACCATGTTTAATCGGGCAGGTGAAGTACTGAACGCCAGCTACCGAGCCATCATTCTTGCCCACTGGTTGGTGAAGCTCCACTCCAGCCCAAAGACCACCAGCAAACTCGGTACTGCCGCAGAACCGCAGAGTCCCGACCTTGCAAAACAAGCGAGAGCCGCAGAGTAAACTAAGATTTACACTTTTCCTTAATGCATTCAATCATGGGACCACAGGAGCATCCTGCTGAAACACTTTAACAAACGGAGGGGAGGCTCTGTGGGGACAGTGTGAGAAATAGTTTTCTGGCCGCGTGGGCTGCCGAGGCGATAATACATGTTCAATAGACCTGTTTCACGCTCTCTTTATCTTGCTCCGTACTCCGGAGGGCAATGAAAAGTGATTACTTCTTTATTCCAGAAACAAACAAGCACATTCGCACACAGTGGCACGTATTTAGGCCTGCTCGACCGGTCGCCAGAGAGCCGACCTTGTTGTCTTATGCGCCGACATTCATAAACAGGCAAATGAGCTTGGATAAAAATAGCGTTAAAAGTAAAATGGGGATCAAAGAAAGCCAGCGGCGCCAAGGATCCCTGAAGATAATGGGGTTTTGATTAGCCAATCTGCAGATTCTAGGCACTCTGCTCACTTTAGTCCCACTGTGGAGGAGGATTTCATTAATGGATAATTTGGTGTGTAGGTAAGAGAGGGCGAGAGTCAGCCAAAAAAAGTAAAATTAATTATTTCTGCAAGGACAATACAGATGAGCAAGCCCTCTGGTCTCTTTACTCTTCTTTCAGTTTTCTGACCCACTATTGTCCTTACCCACTGCAAATGGATTTGAGATCCCCAGCTGAATCCCTGTACATTACTGATGATGTCACAATGGGCCACAGCTTGCAATGCGACTGCCTTTTAGCTGTAGTGAATTGCAGACAGTTATACAGCGTGTAGGACAGATTTGATTGCGTGGCAGCTTTAGGATACCATTCAGTGACATTTTAGTTTTTGGCTGGGAGCAGTGCATGAAGTCATTTCTTTCCGACAACTCATTTTGCGGAACATTGTGTGGGGGTGCACCTGTTTCTATTCAATTTGATTTCTCAGCAGCTTCAATCAATATCAATCACAGCAAACCTGTTATGTTTGAACTCTAGCATCTGTAACCCGTCTTTATATTTGATGCGAGGAACAACAAGCACACACATTTCCTTGATTTTTGAAGCAAATGTACATTTTTTTTTCCAGCACACATATAAAACACATATACTTCTTTTAAACGCTAATGTGCTGCCAATGTGTATCTTTAAATTATTTTCATTAACCTACCAAAATTGCATATTTAACACTGCTTTTAAAGCAATACACATAACACACTGTTTGTGGCTTGTTTAGACTTGATTAGAGGCTTGTTTAGACAAATGTTTCATATTTTAGAAATACAAACATACAAACATGATTTTCATGATTTACCACCTTTGTGAGGACATTTGGTGCACACACACGCAAAGTGGCCCCCCAAAAATTAAGGCACATAAGCCAAAACAAAAAAGCATTATATAGTAAATTATACAATAAAATATAACAGACTATATACTTATAAATAAATAAACAAACAAACAATATCTGTGGAAAAAGCTTAATAAACTTATTGTTAATATACTGAACAGCATGTTAAAATAATGTTAATATTTTTATTTTGTATTGCACAAATGCAATATTATTATTACTGTATATATTATATTATTATTATTGTCCACATAATGAACTACACAAGTGGTTATCCTGCAAGGACATCTGTGTGAACTGTGGGATTTCATGTTTTCATAAAAATTACCTTGAGACCAGCTGGTAAAAATAATTCAAAGAGTGAAGAAAGTGAAGATAAGGTTTGATATTTTGTAGTGAATGCCAAAAAAATAAATAAATTGAGAGAAATTCAGATTTAATTGAGAGTGACTTAAATGCCCAAATGCTTTTTGAAGCCACTGTATCTGCAATAAAAATAAAAATAAAATATGTTTGCTCATTACATGGTCAAAGAAATTAAGAATTATGCAGTACCTTTTGACCAGCAATGATAACTTTGTCTCCAATGTGAAGTCCCATACTTGAAAGCTGGGCACGAGCTTTATCCGAGATGAGACCTGGAGGTCGGGCAGGCAGGAGCGGGAGGACATCGTCGGGTCTGGGGAGGACCTCCTGTAGCAGTGTGCGCAACTCTTTAGCCTGGACCGCGGCATCAGCTATTTCAAGAGGCATGTCTAGAGGCTCTGGCACAACATCAGCCGGACACTGGCCCTTATCATTCTAAAAAGATAAGGTTCAATGAAAACATGTCTAAAAACACATAAATGACATGCATAAAACATCCTAAATGAAATAGCAACAGGTTAAAGGAAAAACCAACATAAAGTGTCTTAGTAAAGTGTTAGGCCACCACATGGCATCACAGAATCATCATAAAATAAGGGAGATCTCTCAGAACAACTTTGTATTGATTTCCAGGATGGATCTTCCTTTTATTTATCACCTGTCTGTATATACCACGAGTCAGCTTCAGGGAATCTCCAGCTAACAAGCTACTTATAATGTAAAGTAGTTAAGCTGCGGTCAAACAAATCTTTTAAAAAAGTATTTGGATTCACTACCAACGACTAAAATAATGTGTCTAACTAAATTGAAGCCATTTAAGGATACACTTTTTATTTTTATTATTATTTTTTTTTTAATCATGCAACTGATTGTATTTTCATGACAATTTTAATTAGGATCTCAATTAGGATGGCTGCCTCAAACTCAAACACATGAAATCACAATAAATAAAACTAGA